CCGAGAACATTTTTTTAATTGTCATTTAATTTATTCTGGTTCAACAGGGAAAGTCTGATTCCAAGAGTGATTTTGTTCTCCAAGTCCAAAGAAGTTGTCTTCCCATCCACATGGTGCTAGCCCGATCCAGCATCCTGTGCCTCTCCACAGTGAATAATGCAGCAGAAGCCTTTAGTTGTGTCTTGCAGGTCTTTGGGCCATATGCAAGCTTACATCATTGGATTCATTCTACTACAGGTCGCATCCGATCCTGGGGGGCCAAGTCTCAGGACAGCTAGACTATGTCTACACTGCTCCCTCTTGTGCAAAAAAATATGCAAATGAGGCAAACGGTGGAATATCACTGCACCTAATTTGCATAATTAATGAGGTTCCATTTTTGCGTAAAACCCCCCTCTTGCGCAAGAGCCATTCATCCTGAAAAAAAGAGGAAGAATAGCTCGTGCGCAAAAATGGAGCCTAATTAATTATGCAAATGAGGCACGGCGATATTCTTGTATTATGCAAATGAGGCACGGCAATATTCTTGCGCAAAAGTTCCTGCACAAGAGTGCATCCACAGTGCTATGTGCTTTTGTGCAAGAAAAGTGCTTTTTTGTAAGAGTGTCCATGGCAGTGTGGATGCTCTCTTGTGCAAGAAAGCTCTGCTGGCCATTTTAGCCATAGGGGTTTCTTGTGCAACAAACCCCTGTTCCCGTCCACACTAGCCTTTTTGCACAAGAGCTCTTGAGCAAAAAGACTTATTCCTCATGGGGAAAGGAATAACTCTTGCGCAAAACGCCCTTTCTTCTGATGATCTACTGTAAACTTTCTTGCACAAGAACAGGCTTGTAGTGTGGATGCTCCACAAGTTTTTGTACAAGAAGCCTACAGTGTAAACATAGCTCCTGTTTGTACCATCATGATGACTACACTGGAATTACACCAATTTCCACCACTGGGGGATATGGCCCATCGCTTTGTTTTATACATTCATTGATTGAAAAATTACATTGATCCCTGCATGGAGGAATGTGGTTTTTCCATATGTAAGGATACCCAGTCAATTCATTGATTGAAAAATTACATTGATCTCTGCATGGAGGAATGTGGTTTTCCATATGTAGGGATACCCAGCAGGGGCAAGGAAGCTGCCTCGTCAGAAGGGTTTGAAGTCAAAGGACATTTTGCCCATGAAGACACAAGCCCCACAGCTGTCCCACTGTTTTTATACACACGAGTGCGGGAAACTGGACTTCTTGCAGAATTGCGTATCCCCAGGTTTTGACTCAAGACAAAAGATAAAGAATATGGAATAAAATATTTTGTTAGAGGAAAGATCTTTTCCAAATGTGTCCAAGACAGTCTCTGGATTTATCAACTAAGTCTACACTTATTTTTGATGGTATAAACTTTTGTTTGGGAGGAGGTATGATTTTACACTGTGGTAGTGTACACTGCTGGAAATATTTATGTGGACACAGTTATACTGGTCTAAAGATGGCTTATTATACGGAGACAGCTGATTGCCTTTCCCATATGGGAATGATCAGACTGATCCAAGCATCATTATATTGGTAACACACCATCAGTGACACCAATTGCGAGCCTTTGAGGAGAAATAATCCCCTGGTGCCCTCTTCCAAAGTTTTTGTAGTTTCAAAATTCCACAGGCTGAAGAGCCTCTGTGTGTGTGTGTGTGTGCGCGCGCGCATGCGTGCATGCGGTAGGGAGAGGGAGGGAGTCATAACCCAACCATTTTTAAACAGTGACTCCATATTTGATTATTACAGATGCTAACAAAGCATTTCTCCAGCTGTGTGGTGGCAATACCACTGACATTTGAGCCAACTTCTCCTCTGTACAAACAGAAGGACACATTTCAGTGAATCCCTAGCAAACAAGGACTGGCAGGGACCAGATGTTGCCTGTCTCCCTTGTCCCCACTGCATCCCCTCTAAAGGGTTTGTAATTCTTCAAATGTATTACTAAAGTTGCAATAAATGCATGAACCACAGAGTATGAAAGCGTAGGATCTCCACAAGTGACTTGGGCCAGCCTTCTCTGCCCCCTGGCTTTCCGTCTCCTATAGAGACCAACCACAGCCAGAGCACAAGGACGGATTAACTACACCCATGCAGCTGAAGCGAAACAACTTTTTCTGTTGCAGATAAGCCCTAGTTCATCAGAACAAGCGGCTAACATAATCCCTGTGTTGCTATCTCTGTTTTTAATACTTTCTTAAATACCTCGCAGTTAAAGCAATACAATTCAGAACTCTGCTGAGAAGTACAGTTCAAGATTTCAACAAATCATAAAAAAGGTTAGTTAGGGGATATTCCTTTTAAACTTCTAATTATTCCTGTGGCCTCTCTTTGCAAAGGATTTGTGCCTGATTCCGATAATTACATCCCAGGCTGCCAAGACTCCTTTGGAGCAATTGTGGGAACCATCAGCCTGCTGTGAACTACTTTGTTAAACTAGAGGCTCTACAGCAAGAGAACGCTCCTTTTTTCTGAAAGGGTTGTTTAAATCCAAGCGTAAAAGTGAACTTGACAAAACCTAGCAACGGGAAACAAAGCTGGGCCAGCTGGTGGGCTCTTATTCAGTCTACTGCAGAATTAAAGAAGCAGTAATTTGTTCCCTCCTCTCCCCCGTTCCAGTCTGGGTGAATCTGCCCAAGGGTATGTCTACACAGCACCCTAAACTGGAAATAAGATATGCAATTTGCCCTGCACACATTGCATATCTTATTTCAATTCTATTTCGAAATCGCTTATTTTGAAATTTGGCGCTTCTTATTTTGAAATTTGGCGCATCTACGCAGCACCGCACACCCGTTATCTTGAAAAATATTTCAAAGTAACTGGCAGCTTGTTACGATGCAGGGTAGCTATTTCGGGATACCTCAAATTGGTTGTGACAATTTTCTTCCACTATTTGATCTGAGGAAGTGGGTCTGGTCCACGAAAGCTCATCACCTAATAAACCATCTTGTTAGTCTTTAAAATGATACATAGTCCTGTTTTTTGTTCCAGCTACACCAGACTAACACGGCTACATTTCTATCCCTAATTCCAATAGGTGGAACTGTGCTCATCTAATTACACATTAGGCCAATGTTTAGCAATTTGGTAAGTGGCTAAGGCAGGGGGAGAGGCGTCAGGAATCGGAGCTTCATCCTCAGCTCTGTCATTAACTTACCCTGTAATATTCAGCAAGTCCCTTAAAAAAAACACCTCTCTCCGTGACTCAGTTTTCCCCCTCTGTAAAGTGGGGTTAATAATGCTCTTACAGCTTTGAAAATTTAGGATGAAAGCTACCAAGTAGACAAGTGCTAAGATTTAATAGAACTCATGTGTCTGCTAGTGACATGAACAGCTTTAAATCGCGCCTTTAATCACCTCCTGATATTTAGTGATGCAAGGGAATTCTGCAATCTATAAATCAGGATGGGGGGAAGGAACTCTAGCCCACTGGCTGCATGCAGTTCACCAAAGTTAGCTGCTGGTGGGCCATTGATTGGGAACAGTGAACTCTGGCCATTGAGAATTGTGAGCAGCTGTACCTGTGGACGTTCAGGCAAACAAAGCATTTGGTGGCCCGCCAGTAGTGAGCCCTGGCAAACCATGTCTTCCCCCACCTATAAACATGTGTCCTTATTTCTAGCAGGTAAGTGTCAAAGCTGCATATCTGTCAAGAAAAGGGCCAGCAAATGATTTCTTCCCTGACCCTTAATCTCTAGAATGAATAGCTCCAAATCCAGCATGTGCATGTATTCAAGAGCCAAATGAAATCATCACGATTCATAGCAAACAACTGGCAGTTGACACATGTTTTGGTTTCAAAGATGCAGCAAAGACGTGAACTATCTGCACAAGTATGTTGATGAAGTGGGAATACTGTCCAGAAAATGACATTTCTTTCAGCCATTCAGCCCTGCCATTTATCACCCAACTCTTGATACTCAGAACACACCGATGCTAGCTACCAATTGTGTCTGATCAAAGCTTTGTCGAAGTGTTCTTTATTATTAATGACAGCGATAACAGGAGGAACTGCATTCTAAAATGAATGAAAACCGTTTGAGGTGTGTAATCATGTCAGCTGAAGACAGATCTTGCTATTGGAGCTTTCCGAGCAACAACAGAATCTAAAGCCACCCACAAGCATGATGATGGATTTATATGAGGGGAAAATTTGTCTCTGGCGGTACTGAGATATCTCGGCAATGCTCCAGGTTTATGCCGGGTTTATGCCGCCAAAATTTAGGATTGAGTATAGTGTTGCACTGAGGTCAAAGAGGGCATAAAACATGGATTTCCTCTTGCAGTTGCAAATCCAGTCTTCAAGTCTGGGTGCATCAAGATTGGGGCCTTCAGCTCAGGTATCAATAGCTTCCTGCTGCTAGAGGCACTTGAGAGTGGGTTTAAGTGGCTAACACAGGACGAAATATTGATTTCTGCATCTCAGCCCCACAATCAAGTCTGAAAATAGGGTCCTACATCGTTATCTGAGATAACTGTCTCAAATCCAGCTCAGTTTCACCTATTGTATGGCCCTGTAAGCCAGCCATTCATCTCCAGGCCTGCCTATGGGGGGCGGGGCACAAATGGGCAGTTACTCTGGAGCCCGTTGACTCAAAGGGGTCCGGGCTCTGGCTACCATGGGGCCCAGCCGGTGCCAGGTGCCCTTTAAATCATTGCCAGGATGCTGTGCGCTCCGGGCAATGCTGAGGGCTGGAGGTGCCACTTTTGGGGCAGTCGAGAGGACCTGCTGCCTTCTGCCCCACTTTTTCCGCTCTGGGTCCCACCACTTCTGGGTGTGTGGGGCACCTTGCCCAGGGGCCCACAGAAGCTGTTGTGTCCGCTGTTTCTATTCTATGTTTAAATAAACTCCTTTCCCATGGGCACACTATTTCCAGCGTGCTCGCAGGCCCTTCTTTCCCCAGTGGCCCCCTCTGCTCCTCATGTAAATCAACCTTAGAATGAACGCTAAAGTTTGCAGCACTCACTCTTCCAGGACCTTGATTTCCCCTGGCAGCAGCTGCCATTTGATCCCCTGCTTTGGCTTTTGAATGGCGCGCCCTGAGAATGCCAGATGTGGTGAACAAAGGTCTAAAAATAATCCGTCCAGTGATCAGTCCAGGGGAATAGGCGCCTCGTGGGAACACGAGACGGGAGAATCTGATCTATTTTTGCACAAGAACGTTCAGCAACCGCTCCAGGCTCCTGGCTGTGGGCTCCAAAGCTTTTTGTGTGTTTGTTTGATTTTTTTTCCCCTCCCAGAAGCTGTACAGCAAAGAGCCGTTTGCTCCAGCAGTCAGCTCTCTCTCTCCCTCTGTCTGATTCGCCGGGCTCCTGGAAAGCTGGGATCCTTATTTCTATTTCTCACCAGGAACATGGAATCCAGCAGCAATGGGCTGGTGCCCACACTGCATTTCTGTAAAAAGATCTTTGCTGCAGCCTTGTGTATGTCAGTCTTGCTCCCAGAATCGGGCTTGTCCAAGAATCTTTGGAAACGTGCGCTCCATCTGAAACGGACAGAGAAATATGATGTGAGTACCTAGCTGGGGAGGGGAGGGAGCTTTGCGTGTGAACTAGGCAGAGTCGGATGTAATGGTGTGAGTTTTCTATGTCCTTTTAGGATAAGTACGTGAATCCTAAGCTTTTTGGCTACATCTAGACTACAAGCCTCTTTCAAAAGTGGCTTTTTCGAAAGAATTTTCGAAAAAAGCCCCTTTCGAAAGAGAGCGTCTAGACTACAAGCAGATTTTTTGAAAAAGCAAGCCGCTTCTTCGAAAGAGAGTCTAGATGCTTTCTTTCGAAAAAGCACAGTTTGCATTCAATAGCACCTTTTTCGAAAGAGTACTTTTGAAAAAAAGGCGTTATTCCTTGTAAAATGAGGTTTACAGTGATCAAAAAACTGCCGCTTTCATTCGATTTACTTTCAAAAGAACACGGCTGCTGTCTAGATGCAGGCGAAGTTTTTTCGAAAAAACCCTGTAGTCTAGACACACTCTTTGAGCTCTGGTTCAGGCTTGTGACGCTGTGTTAAACTTTTACCCCCGATCTACTGCTGCATGAGACAGGCAGAGAAGGGCACACTGTCCACGGAGAAATAAATTTGTAACGCAATAGCCTTGGTCAAAGGAGGCACTCTGCACTGGGAGAGGCCGGAGAAGGGACATGTGAATGGAGAAATGTGGTTGCAAGTGGAAAAACCCATATAAATGTGCATAGAAGTGCTAGCATGAAATACCAAAAGGAAAGTAGCATGGTCTGCTGCTTAATGCAAAAGAAGTGGGAGTCAGAGTTTCGGGGCTATATGCCCAACTCTACCACTGGCGTGGTGCGTAAGATAGGGCAAGTCACGAGCTAGTGACTCGTGTTAGCCATCCACTGTAAAGCGCGGATAATACGTGCCATAATTCACAGGGCAGGTTGAGAGGCTAACTAGTAAAAAATTAAAAGGCCACCCCCTTCCTCTTTCTTTTCTCTTCCCCTCTCCTATTTATTTCCAGTTTTCATATCCTCTACTCATAACTCCAGTCATCTGAAGAAGTGGGCTGTGCCCACGAAAGCTCATGATACCATCTACATGTTTTGTTAGTCTATAAAGTGCTACCAGACCATTTGTTGTTTTTTTCTGTAACAGACTAACTCAGCTACCCCCTGAAGCTCCTGAAATTAAAATGGGATTTTCTATCTTGTTTGATGTATTAGTGTGGTTTATTATCTATTGTGAATTCTTATAATGTAGTTTCCAGGTTGGTTTGGGCAGAGGAGGAGGAACTATTTTACTGGCAAGTAGAGATTTTTTTTAAAATGGGTGGCTGCTAGAATCTTAGAGCATTGGAATAAATAATATTGAAATGCATTAGCCCTTGTCCAGATTAGGAAAACAAACTATGGTTGAAATTGTATTACTAGACAAACAGCTGATCAGCTGTTTGTCAGCTCAGAGCGTCAACCATGTAAATTTAAATGAAGCCGCAATTATTTAAATCGCGGCTTCATTTCCCTTTGCCAAACAAACACACCTACATGGCTCTGTCGACAGAGCCATGTAGTTTAGACGTACCCTAATAGACTAACTCGGCTACACCTGAAGCATTTAAAGCGGTTGTTACTGCAGGTAGCTCAGGGGAGAATTCATCCGCATGTCTGCCTCTTATAGCATCATCGAAATTCAGGACTGGAGGGGATCTGGTCCAGCCTCCTGGGCTGAGATAGGACCAAAATACCTAGAACCATCCCTGACTACAGGTGTTTGTCTAACCTGTTCTTTAAAACCTCCACTAACAGGGATTCCACAATCTCCTTGGGAACCCTATTCCAGAACTTAGATATCCTTATACTGTAGTTAGAAAGTTACCCCAATCTCAAACCTAAATCTCCCTGGCTGCAGATTAAGCCCATTTCTGTTTGTTTTGCCATCAGTGGACATAGAGAATAATGGATCACTTTCACTATCTTCTTTATAACAGCCTTTAACATATTTGGAGGCAATTCTTAGGTCCTCTTTGTCTCCCCCGCCAAGACTGAATGTGCCCTTTTTTCCCACCTTTCCTCACAAGTTAAGGTCTTTTAGACCTTTCATAATTTGTGTTGCTCTCCTCTGGACTCTCTCCAATTTGTCCACATCGTTCTTAAAGCGCTGCCCAGAAAAGTTCTCAATACTCCAGTTGTCTCACCAGTGCCAAGTAAAGTGAGACAACTACCTCTGGTGGCCTGCATACCCCTTTTCCACAACTCTGTCCCGTTGCTGGCTCATCTCTAATTTGTGGTTGCCCATAATCCCCAGGCCCCTTCCTGCAGGTTTACCACCTAGCCCGTTATTCCCCATTTGTGCAGGTGATGTCGCCTTCCTGGGTGCAGAACTTGGCGTTTGTCTTTACTGAATTTCATCTTCTTGATTTCAGATCGATCCTCCCATTTTTTTCAAGGTCATTTCAAATTCTAATCCCCTGCCCCCAATGTGTTAGCAGCTCTTCTCAGCTTGGTGTCATCTGCAGATTTTATAAGCATACTCCCCACTCCCTTATTCACATCATTAATGACAATGACAATGTACCAGATGCAGGAAAAGCCCCTGCAAGACTTCACTAGATATACCTCCCGCTCCCCCACCCCAGTGAACTACTCATTGAGTACAAACAAAAAACAGGACTATGTAGCACTTTAAAGACTAACAAGATGGTTTATTAGCTGATGAGCTTTCGTGGGTCAGACCCACTTCCTCAGATCAAATAGTGGAAGAAAATTGTCACAACCATATATACCAAAGGATACAATTTAAAAAAATGAACACATATGAAAAGGACAAATCAAATTTCAGAACAGAAGGGAGATGCGAGGGGGGGGGAAGTTAATGGTATTAGAGGTGATAATTGGGGAAGCTATCTTTGTAATGGGTAAGATACCCGGAGTCTTTGTTTAGACTCACGCGTAGAGTGTCGAATTTTAGCATGAATGACAGTTCAGAGGATTCTCTTTCAAGTGCAGATTTAAAAGGCTTTTGGAGCAGGATGCAGGTGATTAAGTCGTTGAGACAATGTCCTTTCTGGTTGAAATGGCAAGAAACTGTTTTTTCTTTGTGATCCTGTCTAATATCTGTTTTGTGGGCATTGATCCTTTGGCGAAGTGTCTGAGACGTTTGTCCAATGTACAAAGCAGACGGACACTTACGGCACATGATAGCATAAATTATATTTCTGGATGCGCAGGAATATGTGTTCTTGATCTTATAACTCACTTGGTTAGGTCCAATAATGGTATCAGCAGAATGAATATGTGGACAAAGCTGGCAAGTCTTTCAGCCAGTTTTGCACCCACCTTACGGAAATTTCCTCCAGACCACATTTCTCTACTTTGCTTATGCGAATGTCCTGTGGAAAGTGAAAGTAGTCTGGACACAGTTTTTTCCAGAAAAAAACACCCCTTCTTTGAAAAACCACGTAAACCTCTCAAAGCTAGGAAAGGCAGGGTTTTTTTGAAAAAGGGTTTTTTTTCTGAAAAAAAAAAATGCTTCCAGACTACTTTCACTTTCAAAGGACCCACTTTCAAAAAAGCAATTGGAAGAAGATATACAAATTCCCGCACAATTTGCATAGCCTCTTTTGAAATTATAACATAGTCTAGACGTGCCCAAACTGTGTCAAAGCCTTACTGTGATGAACATGTAGCACAGCTGCAGCTTTGCCCCCAATCCTGTAAGCCAGTCATCCTGTCAAGGAAGGAAATTGGATTGGTTTGGCATGGTTTGTTCTTGAGAGATAAGGCAGGTGAAGTTATGTCTTTTATTGGGCCAGCTTCTAATGGTGTAAAAACTAAAGCTAAGGCTGTAGATCAGACTCATTAATCTCTCTGGGTATGTCTACACTACCACCCTAGTTCGAACTAGGGTGGTAGTGTAGACATACCCAAGTTGCAAATGAAGCCCGGGATTTGAATTTCCCGGGCTTCATTTGCAT